CACAAACAAATAAAACAAATGCAAAAGCAAAAAACAAAAACATCCAACTTACTTCTAAAATTTGAACCAATGGGTGAGGGGCTTGGTGAGGGGGGAAGGCCAGGACAATATGAGATCTAAGGAGCGAAATGTAAGTCAAACTATAATCGCCGATGACTGTTTCTGATTTCATACTCAGTGATTATGATAATGAGTCCGCAACGTATTTTAAAGCCTAGAAAGCTCCAGAAACTGTTCCGTTCTAAAAATATCATAAAGCAAACAGGCAAAACGATTTCTTTGTCAAGCAAGTGAAAGAGAAAAATAAAGACATTTAACTTTTGAAATTTGGTTACAAACCCGATACTATGATTTAAATATAATAATTGTAGATATCAGTAAGGTAATGGGGATAATTATTGTACCAGTTCAAAGATGCTATGTTATTAGTTCACACGATTGTTTTCGATTACAACCGGTAATGTCTCGCTGAAATCCCGATAATAGCCCAAAGCTGACATGATAATAGTTCAAATGAGCAAATTGTGTCTGTCCAAACGGGATAAATCTTATAATTGTTCCAGAACTGACAATTATTATGAGCATTTTGAGACTTGAGACATAAAGTAATATTTTTAATGACTCTTAATTCCCCTTTCCCGAAAAAAGCAAGTGTAGATCTATACACACTGTTCTAAGTGGAAGAAAAAAAAACAAATACAAAAAGTCCCAAACAGCTAGTAACCTACTTGAGACTGACGCGAAATAGCTGCCACGAACAAACAATTACACGCTTCAAAACCGCTAGATTATGTATGCATTGCCTTTGCCTAATTGAAGACTCCTCCTTATGATTTTAACGATGACACTGAAGACAGCAGTGATTTTAAAGTAAAAAAAGAAAGAAATAAGACCGCTCTGAGAAATGGTGCGTTATCTGGCGAAATTCGCCATGGAAAATGCAAATAAGTTACCGCAGTTCTTTTTAGAGAGATATACGCACAAATAATACGCTTACAGCCGATCTACCCCAGAACCAGGCACTGTCTCATGCACTTGATATAAAGTTTAAAGTTAAAGACTTGCGAGCTACTCGGCAGAAGGTGGGTGCGTCCCTATCTCACAATATGGCGTTTGTTACCAACTCCCACTACGGCAATAGTACTACTGTGGACTCGGTCTCAAGCTTGCCGCAAGCAGACTTGATTAGTGACACGTTCCGACGCATTTACGTCATCGTCAACTTCAACACTCTCAGCCTCGTTATCAACTTCCTGGGCACCATAGGCAACTTCATCAACATCGTTGTGTTCGCCCGGCAAGGCTTTTCCGACTCCGTTAACGTCAGTCTTTTCGGTCTCGCAGTTTCGGATTTTCTCGGACTTGTATCCCTGCAGTGGTTCAACATCTGCTCCAACGAACTTTTCGCTGCTTCTGATATTCCTTTCGACTCTATAGAGGTCCAGTACTTGACATCCGGCTGGCCACATGTGGCTTTTGCGAGAACCACGGCTTGGATCACAGCCTTCATCACGTTCGAGAGATGTCTCTGTGTAACAATGCCACTAAAGGTCAAGGTCATCATTACACCACGGCGTTGCGCTTACGTCATTGTAGTTATTTTTGTAACTGTCATTGCCAGCATAGTTCCTATATACTTTTCGACTTTTTTTGCTTGGAAATTCTACCCAGACAGGAACAGAACACTTTTAGGAATCGCTTTTGTTGAAAATCGCGTGGAAATAGAGAGTATAGCTATCCCAATAAACGGCAGTGTTATTCCGTGGTCTGCGTTCATCGTCGTCATTGTCTGCACTTCCGTTCTGGTCTATAGTCTAAATAGTAAAACAAAATGGCGGAACAAAGCTACTTTCGGCGTCACTAACTTATCTGAAACGGAAAACGCAAACAGCACCAAATCAACGGCAGGAGCCTCAGTTCGAGACAGGCGTGTTGTTAAAATGGTGGTTCTGATTTCCATCATTTTCATCACGAGCTTCATGCCTTTCACAGTCTGCTTCATGTGGTCCGCCATAGAGCCAGAGTTCAGTGTCGTGGGCCGTTTTCAGAACACCTTCTGGGTGGCGGTAGGCGTCGCGCTCATTATGGAGACCATCAACTCTTCTGTGAACCTCATTCTCTACTATCGCATGAGCAGTCGATACAGGGAGACGTTTCGGCAACTTTTCCGCTTGAAATCTGTAGAATGAACTAGATGAAGTTGAATAAAAACCTTCGTCGTGGAAAGAGTCTTATCTACGCTGTTATGATTCTGAACTAGCTTTAGAGAGGCTGTGCTGAATCACTGGCTTAGACGAAAAAAAGTTTTAGCTTAGCAGATGCTTATTTTAAAAAAAAGAAAAGAAAAACAGATATTTTTTGGCTATGTCTGAAGCACAAACTAAAGACAATGCTCTGAAGTTAAATATACTGTTTGTTAAACTATATCTCTTGAATACAGGAATTGCTATCTTTACAGATCTTTATTTATATATGTACCGCTTGGTGCTAAGCTTAAAATTTCCTCCTCCTCCTCCTCCTCCTCCTCCT